TAGAATTTTATTTTTTTAAAATTGAAATTCCATAAACATTTTGAAAGACAAGCATGGCGCAAATAACCGCCAACAACAACCCCGGGCGCCGATGACTTAGTCGTCGATTAAGGCAGCCCCCCGCACCTCTCTGATTCAGAGGGGTTGGGTTAAATGCGGAAGACACATTTCGGTTGAACGCATTTAGTTGTGCAATTGACTCGGTATTCCCTTTCCCCACATCCTTATCAATTGGAACAGAAAACATCTAGGCTAGTCTCGTGCACCATACCCATTCCTCCTAATGCCTGGGGAGGAGGTTACAAACTCAATAACACACTAACAGATTCAGGGTTTCAAGGAATTTGTGTACATCAATAGATTTCATGGCCTTCTTGATCTTACACAGCTTATTATTCAGTGAGTCAAAGTAAACTTGATGAGTTTTCTTCTTCAAAAAATCATTAAAAACATTGAATGTATGTCATATTTGGCAATAATTGTAATCAAATGTATCACCAACTGTTTGTTAGTAGAAAATCCTGAATTATAAACCCAATATATATTTTTAAATTATCTTGAATAACATTCTATTCTATCCCATCAAAATGACGCAATTGTAACACTTTCAAATCAAGTTTCTACTGAATTTTCGTTGTGGGAAAATAGTTATACTTTTCTATGGGCCTATTCATTTTCCTGGTGCGACACCGCAAAAACATATACAACCAAAATGTAGGCTGTGGTATAAAGGTGCATTTCTATAACTTTATTTTATTTTTTTGAAAAATAACGTTTCTAGTGGTTGGGGGGATGGGTAGGTGTATAAGAGTAGCGTTAAGGTAGCAACACTAGCTGGATCCTATCCACATTCAGACTTCCGGTTTTCGGATTTTGCCTTAAAAATAAAAGTCTGTGGTAAAAAGCTATGCGTATGATACGAAATCAATATTTTTTGCAGCTATGCATAATGTTAAAATTATGTGCAAAAAATGATAACTACATGGGGGAAAATCTAAACTAAAGAGAATTACTACTTTTATATAAGATAAATAATATTATAAGGTGGAGCACATTGAGAAATGGTTGGAGCTTAAGTAAATGAATGTCAAGAACATAATAGCCTACTGGTAAAAAAAATAACAATAATACAATTAACATTTAAAAAATATATATAATTATTTTGATTGTATTATTCTTGGTGCTATTGTTCAATAAGGCAATTTTGAAATGTAATGTTTAAGAAAAGTCTTACTGTATTTTTGTTGTATTGCACAAACAAATTGCATTATACAGGAAAAATGATTGATTGTGTGTCCATAAAACCAGGGTCCAGTCTACTCACTAGAGTCCCTAGAATACAAAACAGGTGAGTTTGGACAAAAAGCTAGGTCATAGCAAGTGTTGCTGGACTTTTACTGTGGTCAAACAGCTTTAAATGGGGTGCCTAGACTCTATACATTTCAAATATAGCACTGCGTCATAGGAAACATTATACTAAAATACCTTAGAATATAAAATACAAAAATCTTGCTTTTGGTGTACACGTTGGAAATTGTACAACATAGTACAATATGTTTATTCAAAAAGTCAAGAGAGATGCAAGTACATTTGGTCCAAAAAAGCATACTTTATTCCTAACAAATATCATAATGAAGTTAATTAATCAAATTGATAATCAACAGTTACACAGAAGTTTCAAATTATATACAAGATCAGGGTTTAGGATATCAGCTCATGAAATACACCAAACAATCTGAGAACCATAGTGCGTAGTAGTAGTAGAGTAGTAGTAGTAGTAGTAGTAGTAGTAGTAGTAGTAGTAGTAGTAATAGTAGTAGTAGTAGTCGTAGTAGTAGTAGTAGTAGTAGTAATAGTAGTAGTAGTAGTCGTAGTAGTAGTAGTAGTAGTAGTCGTAGTAGTAGTAGTAGTAGTAGTAGTAGTAGTAGTAGTAGTAATAGTAGTAGTCGTAGTAGTAGTAGTAGTAGTAGTAGTAGTAGTAGTAGTAGTAGTAGTAGTAGTCGTAGTAGAGTAGTAGGTTTCTCGCAGTCATAGACTGAATTGTACACCAATTTACAATCATGACATCAATCTACAATCATATATAATTATAAAATAGTAAAATCCTAATCTAGCAAACACTTAATATAATACAATGTTAAAATATGCAATATATACAAAACATCTATACAACAACAACAAGTCTTGGGCAGCAGCTTTAGAAAATACATCTTTAGAGTTCTTAGGAAGGCCTTTCTAAGGACCCTGGGCTATATAGTGTGTGCATTGATCCATTTAGTGACATATGAAATGGGAGAGTTCTGATAGCGAATTTGGTTTGGTTTTTCTGAATCTTTGGAGAGACTGTCAACAAGGCTAACAAGGGCGTGGGTGGTGGACCTGCCTTTTAGACTTCCAGACTGTCTGAGGACAAAATAGATGTCCTTGAGTATCCACTGGAGCGCAAAGCCTTCAGCAATCTCTGCAAACTGGGATGTCAGAGAGATTGGTCTTAGTTGTTCTACATGGGCAGGTCGGGATTTGGGGATGGGGATGTCCACTGTTTAGGAACTAGGCCCTCCTTGAAAGAGGAGTTGAAAAGTTGACATGGGGAGTACTGATCTCACAGGCAAAATCTTTCAGCAGTTTCTGTGGGATTAAGGTCCTGGCCGGGTGCTTTGAGACCTTGATCGCGTGGAGACTTTTTGTAGACATCCCAGACAAGGAGGATGGGAAGCTGGTAGGGGGAAGGGAGGAAAGCTGGGAGTTGTGTCAGGTCAAGTGGAGGCAAAGCAGATGAAATCACAGCAAAGTGTTTGTTGATGATGTTGTAGAACTGTCGTCGATTTCAGCTCCTGGTACACTAATAACTCCTTCCACATTCTTTACATTTGCCATGGCCATCACCTCTTGATGCCAGGGGTTTGCTGTCTTCAGCCTAGCAACATAGTACATGTGTAGGTTACACCAATTAATCACATCATTGCAGATTGATCTTCTTTTGACAAAGTACGAAGCATTATTTCAAGGTGTTCACCATTATACTCAATGAATCTGATATAAACGTTCTTACATAACATTAACGCAATAATCTTTTTTGAGCACATACTCATGTTTATAGCTATGGCCATCCAATGTGCTTTTAAAATCACAGAGCTATTCCAGGTACCATAGGCAGAGGATCTATCCGCTCAGAACAGAGATTATTTAACTGTTGGCTAACAATAGAGGCGGGGCACATCAACACAAAGTGATCCTCCAACTTAGATTTTACAATATCAAGGTACACATCAATTATCTTATTACTGAACCAATCTCCATTGTTTCTTTTATCAAGATCCTCAGTGGTTACTGAAGACAGTTTCCTCTGAGTTGGCTTAGAAATGTCTTTATGTTGAGAGGAATCACAGTCCTTCAATTCGACAGAGCATAAGTGAATGACTTCTTTCAGACCAAAGTAGAGGACCTCTACACTACTTATCCTGTCATATGCAACTAGACAAAATGTGGCTTTGTACAGCAATTTGTTGAGTAATTCTAAACTATAGTCCACTGACAATTTTGATGTATCAGTGCAGTTTACACGCCAAAGCTGGCCATGACTTGTATGCAACTTCATAAATGGGTATTCGTCTGAAAATGTGACTATACTGGAAATAGAATATGTATGTTTGCTAAATATGCAAGGTAGAATAAAGCTTTTAGGTAATTTGATCCTAGCCATGTCCATTTTGACAAGCAGTCTGTGGGTCATGGGTTACATAACAGCTTGAATGTTGAGAGCCCTTTGAATTCTTAGATATATCACATGCTCTGTTCTGTTGATTTTGATTCAAACCAACAAGGTATTGGCCTATGCTGTCTGTAGAAATGTCGCTCAGTTCTACTATCAGTTGTTTTGTAGTCTGGCCATACACTGCCTGGGCATCACACTTACTGGAAAGGTTTGAACATAGACAGTGACTGTATAGCAAATCATTTGCTAAGAAATTGATGGGTAGAATTTCCTGAACAAAATGTTAAACTATGTCCTTTACACCACTGTAATTAAGTTGTTTGTGAACCATGGATTGTGAAAATGTCCCTGAATACAATGCTTCAAACTGTGAAATTGACTGTTTCACTTGGTCAGCTCTAAGTAATCACTTATGGCATTCAGAAAATGCTGATGTACACTATACTGAACAGAAATATAAACGCAACATGTAAAGTGTTGGTCCCACGTTCGATGAGCTGAAATAAAAGATCCCAGCAATTTTCCATACGCACAAAAAGCTTATTTCTCTCAAATGTTGTACACAAATGTGTTTACATCCCTGTTAGTGAGCATTTCTCCTTTGCCAAGATAATCTGTCCACCTGACAGGTGTGGCATATCAAGAAGCTGATTAAACATCATGATCATTACACAGGTGCACCTTGTGGTGGAGACAATAGAAGGCCACTCTAAAATTTGCAATTTTGTCACACAACACAATGCCACAGATGTCTCAAGTGTTGAGGGAGTGTGCAATTGGCATGCTGACTGCTGGAATGTCCACCAGAGTTGTTGCCAGAGAATGTTATGTTCATTTCTCTACCAACATCGTTTTAGAGAATTTGGCAGTACATCCAACTGGCCTCACAACCGCAGACCATGTGTAACCACGCCAGTCCAGGACCTCCACATCAGGCTTCTTCACCTGCGGGATCGTCTGAGACCACCCACAGTAAATTGCACTTTTCAACTATTACGTGGTGGACTTTTATTTTGAACATTTCCGAAATACTATGACCCGGAAGTACTTTTTTAGTGTTGCTGACGAGATGCTGATGGGTGGGTGGGGCAATTGCCTACGATCGGATGCGGGAACCAACAGACTGCACGCTTCAGGTATTGTTGCGCTTATAGTCGCATGCACTTGTTGTAGCCTACAGATCAACTGCGAATAGCTTGTTGTAGCCTACAGGTCAACTGCGAATAGGCTATGTGAAGTTCAAAAGTACAGTTGATTCCTGTCGTTGATAGTTCTTATATACGAAATGGATGCCAATCCATCCTTCTCGCTGTCATGTCTCTACAGAAGCGATCCAATTTATTCGCTCTGTGCCTCAGATTTAATGACCGCTTCTCAAACTGTGAACAATAATTTCATAAAGGAACAGAAGCAACTTATGAAGGTAACGTTCTTCTTTTTACTGTGTTATTTTGTATTTTAATATTTTCCTTCTGTTTCGCTTGTTTGAATATAACCCACATATTTAGACTTGTGTTTAACTTTATTAACTTATAGCATACAATTGTCGGCTATATTTTACTAGGCTTGTTACAAGATTGTTTAGCTGATTCAACTGATTCAAATGTTGAGTTGCAGATTGCATAAATAGCCTATTCATGTTCCTATAAGCATATATTCACTTTTCATTGAAAGTTAGAAGCATCACGTGACTTTCAATAATTTCAGTTACTGCTCTGTTAACTGTGTAAATAATTGTCTAGGCAGTGAAACTAGCTGGTGACTTATTCATTTTCAGCTTAACCCTTTACACTCGTGGGAATTGGCCAATATGGATAGGGCTAAATTGAAATGTTTCTTACAGAAGAGATATGAAAAGCATTTGGATAACAATGGTAGCAATTGAAAGGGAACAGTTTGGAGATTATGGGGAAATTATTAGACCAAAGGTGAGGACACAACAGTTCACCTGACACAAAACAGAATCCAAACATTACACTGTGTGGTCCTCTGTAGCTCAGCTGGTAGAGCACGGCGCTTGTAACACCAAGGTAGTGGGTTACACACCCATACAAACAAAACAAAAAAATATGTATGCACGCATGACTGTAAATCGCTTTGGATAAAAGCGTCTGCTAAATGGCATATTATTATTACTTGATTTTATGTGGTCCTCTGTAGCTCAGCTGGTAGAGCACGGCGCTTGTAACGCCAAGGTAGTGGGTTCGATCCCCGGGACCACCCATACACAAAAATGTATGCACGCATGACTGTAAGTCGCTTTGGATAAAAGCGTCTGCTAAATGGCATATTATTATTATTATTATTATTATGTGCATTTTACATTTACTGTACTTTTCGCCGCATTTGTTGATAGCGAAATCTGAAAATACTGGATACATTAAGTAGCATGATAAGAATATTCCTGGAAAATGTGGGGTAGGCAAGGGTTTGAGTGAGAGGACTAACTTGTGTCTCCAAGTGGCCACACACCTCTCCAAAGTGTACACAGTTCCTAAGTAATTTCAATGCACTTTTATGACTCAAATAAGAGTCTTCAACTGCAGTGCATTCAGAAAGTATTCAGACCCCTTGACTTTTTCCACATTTTGTTATTACGTTACAGCCTTATTCTAAAATGGATTAAATCGTTTTTTCCCCTCAAATCTACACACAATACCCCATAATAACAAAGCAAAAACTGTTTTTTAGAAATTTTTGCAAATGTATTAAAGATACAAAACTGAAATATACATTAACATAAGTATTCAGACCCTTTACTCAGTACTTTGTTGAAGCACCGTTGACAGCGATTACAGCCTCGAGTCTTCTTGGGTATGACGCTACAAGCTTGGCACACATGTATTTGTGGAGTTTCTCACATTCTTCTCTGCAGATCCTCTCAAGCTCTGTCAGGTTGGATGGGGAGCGTCGCTGCACAGCTATTTTCAGGTCTCTCCAGAGATGTTCGATCGGGTTCAAGTCCGGGCTCTGGCTGGGCCACTCAAGGACATTCAGAGACTTGCCCGAAGCCACTCCTGCGTTGTCTTGGCTGTGTGCTTAGGGTTGTTGTCCTGTTGGAAGGTGAACCTTCACCCCAGTCTGAGGTCCTCAGCGCTCTGGAGCAGGTTTTCATCAAGGATCTCTCTGTACTTTGCTCCGTTCATCTTTCCCTCCATCCTGACTAGTCTCCCAGTCCCTGTCGCTGGAAAACATCTGCACAGCATGATGCTGACACCACCATGCTTCACCGTAGGGATGGTGCCAGGTTTCCTCCAGACGTGACGCTTGGCATTCAGGCCAAATATCTTGGTTTCATCAGACCAGAGAATCTTGTTTATCATGGTCTGAGAGTCCAAGCGGGCTGTCGTGTGCCTTTTACTGAGGAGTGGCTTCCGTTTGGCCACTCTACCATAAAGGCCTGATTGGTGGAGTGCTGCAGAGATGGTTGTCCTTCTAGAAGGTTCTCCCATCTCCACAGAGGAACTGTGGAGCTCTGTCAGAGTGACCATCGGGTTCTTGGTCACCTCCCTGACCAAGGCCCTTCTCCTCCGATTTCTCAGTTTGGCCGGGCAGCCAGCTCTAGGAAGAGTCTTGGTGGTTCCAAACTTCTTCCATTTAAGAATGATGGAGGCCACTGTGTTCTTGGGGACCTTCAATGCTGCAGAAATGTTTTTGTACCCTTCCCCAGATCTGTGCCTCGACAAAATCCTGTCTCGGTGCTCTACGGTCAATTCCTTTGACCTCATGGCTTGGTTTTTGCTCTGACATGCACTGTCAACTGTGGGACCTTATATAGACAGGTATGTGACTTTCCAAATCATGTCAAATCAATTGAATTTACCACAGGTGGACTCCAATGAAGTTGAAGAAACATCTCAAGGATAATCAATGGAAACAGGATGCACCTGAGCTCAATTTCGAGTCTCATAGCAAAGGTTCTGAGTACTTATGTAAATAAGGTATTTTGGAATTTTATTTTTTGTCATTATGGGGTATTGTGTGTTGATTGATGAGGGAAATGTTTTTCTTTAATCAATTTTAGAATAAGGCTGTAACATAACAAAATGTGGAAAAAGTAAAAGGGTCTTAATACTTTCCGAATGCGCTGTATATGGTGCTTTTTTTATAGCTCTCCTAGCTGTGCTGTTGAGGAACTAGAGCAAGCACACTTGTAGTTATTTTGTTTAGAACACAACCCTGCATCCCAGCAATCACACAATTACTGTTGTTGTTTACAAAATCCAAAAACGTCCATTATAAATCGCAATCTGGGTCAGGTGGGCAACATTTGATAGGTTGTTCTATTGCCAACATGACTAGCTAAGTTATAAAATATGATATTAGTGTTAGGCTTTCACAAGGCAATTCAGGGAAACAGATCATAGTTTTGGTGCGCATAGAAATGAGTCATGAGTGCATTCAGGTGCGTGTGCCTCGGTTACTGTTCTTCACAATAAACAAACGGGCTCATTCTGTTCAGAACAACCCAGGGTGTTGACGCCATGTCATCTTGTAAATGTACATCAAACATAGTGATCATAAACATTGACACTGTTTATGGTAAGAGTTTTATGATATGGAAATTTGAAGTGCACATTTTGGTGTTAGGCTTTTTTTTTGGGGGGGGGGGGGGGGGGTAGATCAGCTTTAATATTGCAGATTGTAACTTCCATCAATGTAATTGTCTGCATCACTTCCAATCCCCCATATGTTGTTTTTTCTCGCAAATATATATACATACATACACATATACATATCCTTAAAAAAAATATATTTCCCTTTATTACTTTCCAACCCCCACCACCCCTTCCCTAATTGGAGTAAACTAGTGAACAACAATGCTTAGGCCTCTACTTCCAGCTTATACATACTATATACATTTTATGGACACAGTCAATTTTACAATAATTATATTTTGTTTGTTTTTACTCCTGAACTTCCTCTACCCTCAACCTCTCCAATCATTTTCATGATGTCCATCTGGTTTGCTTCTATATGCCATATCTTTCTAACTGTGCTCTTTCACAAAAGCTCTCAACCTATAACCTATATACTTATTATGGGCACAGTATGCTTTACATTAGTTATCTTGTTGTTGTTAGTTGTTATTAGTCCCATCCTTCAACTCCATTCAACACCACCCATCTATCTCTTAACACCATCCATATTGGATTTCTATTTGCCATATATTTTTCAACTGTACTGTGATGTTTGGCTTGTTTGTATGACATCACAGTGGTATTTATTCTAATCCTCAATGTTTTATCTTTCAAAATACATAGTCCTCTTCAATGAGCATTTCCCTCACTCAGACAACAGAAAAGTGGCCCAATTAGCAACAAAAAAAAACATATACATTCTGTTCTCAGCATCAACAAAACTCTCTATCCTCTATTTTGTTAAGTTTGTTCAGGTGTGTTGGCCGCCCCCACTAATTGGCCACACCCAATCTTAATGAGTTCTTGTTTCCTTTGAAATATGGTCTGTTTGAAAATACTAAAATTAACAGCTTTGTATGCGTAAAAAACATGGCATGCTAGCTCCATCCTGGTGGTTCAGTGGACTAATTCCATGGATAGAGAACAGAAGATTATAGGTTTGAATCGTGCTGATGCCGTGTCACAATAAATAAATATATGTTTTGCTTGATTAATGCCTAAGGACATTTATTTCCATGTGTCCTATCTGTGCTTGGAGTTAAAAAAAAGTTAACCCCAAAGAAGTTAGCAGTGTTATTAAAAGTCTTATTGAAACATATTGAACGTTTTAAGGAAGTTATTCAAAAACCTCTAAATAACCTATAATTTCCATTCTCAGAGCATTAATAAAACCTCCCAGGGAAACTTTCTCGGAACCTCCCTGCAACATAAAAATAATCGTTCCCAGAACAGGCGAAATTTTCACTTCTGTTCTTAGAATGCTTAAAAATCCTTCAGTTTTACCAGTCAGGAAACATATGGCTTCATTCACACAACCAATGTGAAACTAAAAACACACATTCCCACAACTTCCAAAGAACCAAATGTGCTAGCTGGGTATGCAAAAGGGTAGTGTTTTTGTTTCATTTTGATCAAATATTCAAAAGTGCATAAATCTCTTGGTAATGTCCATATATTTTTGTCTTTATTTACATAATGCAATATTTCCCTCAAAATAAATCACAACAAATACTATTTCTCAGCTCCACGGTCTTTGATGTCAGTGGTGCAGATTAATTGGCAAACGTGATGTCCCCAAAATGGAGACTCAAATTAGACCCATGGCAACTGGCGGTCTAGTCACACATTTACAACCCTATTAATGTAATTCATGTTCCTTTTAGATCTGTTCAGTATAGTCTGTGGTTCTGCAGAGGACACCCAGTACCTAACAAATAGAGAGGGAAAAAAACAGTATTCCAACTCAGTCTTCACTATCTGGCCAGGCTGGGAAGGGTGGGAGTACACATTCTAACTACAACCATGTGATTTCAAGTAATGTCAACCACTAGTCCTAACTTTAACCCTAACCTTAGCCCTAACTGTACTGACAAGATAAAGAACAAATATCTCATGCACTTGCTCAACAGATCAAATGACACTGCTACTTTTGTCCATTCCAACATGGCCGTTTAGTCACTTCCTCCCTTGCTCTCCCTTTCTCTGGTCATTTCCCCTCTGTCCAGACTCTGAAGAGGCTGGAGCAGCAGCAGCTCACCTGCATGCGTCAGCTGAGTGAGGAGCAGAGGACCTTTGCCTTCGTCATGAACAAGAGGCTTAGCCAGAGGGGCCCTACGAGGCCTCAAACGCTCCCCTCCACCTCAGCCTCCTCCATCTCCCCTCCGTCCGTTACGGGTTCCCAGTCCGCCCCGGCTGCCCTCGCCACCCGCACTGGGGCCAACAGAGCTGGCAGTGCCAAGAGCGCCAACAGCAGAGTCAAGTTTGAGCAGTCTTCTTCCAGCCTCTTGCCGTGGGCAGTGACATTGCAGAAGAAGAGTATGGAGACACAAGGCAGGGAGGCAAGTGAGACGATCACTGTGAGTGGTCCTCTGTTCCAGATCCTGACCTGACCATGAGCTGCATTACTCTGAGTGACCGCTGTAATGGCTGCCGAAATTACGTTTCTTTCTGTACAGGTGGCCTTTTTGGTAGGATGAGAAATATCTGTTTTGTTAATTACTATTCTCTCTTTTTTTTTTTTTAGGTTTTGAAGGAGTATGGGGCATCGGCTGGTCAAAGGTGTTGTTGTGAATGTGGTCACACCAGGGAGCTGTTGGACAGGAGACTGAGCTGTCCAGCCATATTACAGAGGCATCACTCTTGATTCTGCTATGGGGTGTTATGGACGTGCAATACAGTATACTGCCACAAGGGCGCGCAAGTGATTCTCATGAACATCATCTACCTACTCATACTGGATCGATCTAGCTACCATATTTCTTGGAGGTTATGCCATGCCAATGGATATATGAACAGCATTTTATGACATGACCGATTAAATGAGTAACACTGTACGTCATGACAGCTTCATAATATTAGCTTCATAATAAGTTACATTAACTATGTCAACATGTCATTACACCTGTAACTGTTTGCAATACATGCAAAATGACACTGCCTTGTCACTTGACATTCAGTGACATAAGATGCCTTTACATCTTTTGACACTTGTTATGTCATGTTTATGACCATAATGACACTGTTATGATGTACAGTTCAAATAGTGTTACCAAGGTACGTTCTGTGTTCACCTACAGTTGAAGTCGGAAGTTTACATACACCTTAGCCAAATACATTTAAACTCAGTTTTTCACAATTCTTGACATTTAATCCTAGTAAAAATTCCCTGTCTTAGATCAGTTAGGATCACCACTAAGAATGTGAATGTGAAATGTCAGAACAATAGTAGAGAGAATTATTTATTTCAGCTTTTATTTAATTCATCACATTCCCAGTGGGTCAGAAGTTTACACACTCAATTAGTATTTGGTAGCATTGCCTTTAAATTGTTTAACTTTGGTCAAACGTTTCGGGTAGCCTTCCACAAGCTTCCCACAATAAGTTGGGTGAATTTTGGCCCATTCCTCCTGACAGAGCTGGTGTAACTGAGTCAGGTTTGTAGGCCTCCTTGCTCGCACACGCTTATTCAGTTCTGCCCACAAATGTTCTATAGGAATGAGGTCAGGGCTTTGTGATGGCCACTCCAATACCTTGACTTTGTTGTCCTTAAGCCATTTTGCCACAACTTTGGAAGTATGCTTGGGGTCATTGTCCATTTGGAAGACCCATTTGCGACCAAGCTTTAACTTTACAGCGGCTTTAACAGTATGAAAAATGTATGCACTCACTAACTGTAAGTCGCTCTGGATAAGAGCGTCTGCTAAATGACTTTAAAAAAATATATAATAATAATCCTGACTGATGTCTTCCTCATGATGCCATCTATTTTGTGAAGTGCACCAGTCCCTCCTGCAGCAAAGCACCCCAACAGCATGATGCTGCCACCTCTGTGCTTCACGGTTCGCACCAAAGTACGTTCATATCTAGGAGACAGAACATGTCTCCTTCCTGAGCGGTATGACGGCTGCGTGGTCCCATATTGTTTATACATGCGTACTATTGTTTGTACAGATGAACGTGGTACCTTCAGGCGTTTGGAAATTGCTCCCAAGGATGAACCAGATTTGTTGAGGTCTACAATAATTTTTCTGAGGTCTTGGCTGATTTCTTTTGATTTTCCTATGATGTCAAGCAAAGACGCACTGAGTTTGAAGGTAGTCCTTGAAATACATCCACAGGTACACCTCCAATTGACTCAAATGATGTCAATTAGCCTATCAGAAGCTTCTAAAGCCATGACATCATTTTCTGGAATTTTCCAAGCTGTTTAAAGTCACAGTCAACTTAGTGTATGTAAACTTCTGACCCACTGGAATTGTGATTAAGTGAAATAATCTGTCTGTAAACGATTGTTGGAAAAATTACTTGTGTCATGCACAAAGTAGATGTCCTAACCGACTTGCCAAAACTATAGTTTGTTAACAAGACATTTGTGGAGTGGTTGAAAAACGAGTTTTAATGACTCCAACCTAAGTATATGTAAACTTCCGACTTCAACTGTATATAACTTGTTTCCTAAAGATGACAGCATAATATGTATATATTGTTGTTGTTTTTTTCATGGGAAGTTGAATGCCAAGTTTTATTTTTAATCAACATTTTGTAAATGACATCTGACTGTTACTCAAAGTAAATGTTCATAACATTCCCTTTTTATTGATGACAGATTTTTGTGTGTGTAGTTTACTAAATAAACTTTAGTTTATACTGTATGTTGAGATTGGAATTCAAACGTTTAATTTTAGACCAATGACAGCATTACGAGATTAAACCGATTGGACCGTAGCAGCAACATTGTATCTACTGTACTTATCTGAACGTAATGACATCATCCTGTGTCACGCATAGGGAAACATTATTCAACTCAAAGAAAGCACAGAAGGGCTGCAGTCCAAACACGTTCTTTTTTACCACCTCAGCCCTTGCGCCAGCCACTTTTCCTCGTCGAAACCGGATGCAGTTTGATTGCCACCTTAAGTGGAGGTCCAATTCACTAACATTGCCCCCTCGGCCCTCGATTTAACTCGAGGGAGCGAGTGAACAACTTTGATCACTTGCTTGGTTGATATGACCCACAATTCAATGCAAACTGTAGTCACATGTCAAACTCTGGTGTCGGCAAAGTGTCAAATATAATCAATAAGGCTGCATTTTCGGTATGTCAGAAAAAGTATGAAGCTAGCTTGCTAAAAAATATATATAGACATTGATTTTAGCGTTGGCAAATTGGCTTAGTCTCGTAGTGAGGAGCCTATAAAACGTAGCTAGATTCGTAAATATATTTTTGGGAATACATTACCAAACTATAAAACTAGCTAGCCAGCTATGGGTAACTGTAGCTAGCTACCTGACACGAATGCTTACTAGCTACATTTATAGCTTTAGGTTGGTTGTTTTTAAGCTCAACTTCAATATTTCCAACAAGGACGTTGCTTCTCCGATCATCACTCTACCTCGCTTGGGCAAGGGACGTTTAAGGTACACTCGGATGTGACGATGTAAAACGTCATTCAAGGGCTGAGATTTTAGGCGGAGGGCTGTCAATTTAGATTTTGAAACGCAGCCATGATTACGCGCGGTTGAGGACGTAGGCTAACACTCGTTTGTACAACGCTACAACAAAATCGTTTATTTAAAAATATTTAGTATTTTCAAAAATTGGTACTCTAGTTTTATCTACATTGAGAGTCCTGGAGGGACAGAAAAGTAACGTGTACCGTTCCTGGAAGAAACCCGTTATAGAGATTGAGCGCGCTCTTGTACCGAAACTGGAACATTATGGGAGCTGTCTTGGGGGCCTTTTCTGTCGCAAGCTGGGTAAGGTGCTTCTCGTATATAATCACGAACATATTTGTGAACAAGAACCAGGTTGGCATATATGAAAGAATGGCTGAGTATCCCAGGCAAGTTCAGCTGAGGTGAGCTCAAAAAAGGTTGTCTGGATCAGATGTGGAAAAGTACCCAGTTGTCATACTTGAGAAAAAGTCAAGATACCGTAATAGAAACTGACTAAAAATTGAAAGTCCACCAGTGAAATACTACTTGAGTAAAAGTCTAAAAGTAATTGGTTTTAAATACACTTAAGTATCAAAAGTAACATTATAAATCATTTCAAATTCCTTATATTAAGCAAACCAGACGGCACCATTAATTTTTTTTTTTTAATGTTTATGGATAGCCAAGGACACACTCCAACACTCAGACATAATTTACAACCAAAGCATGTGTGTTTAGTGAGTCCACCAGATCAGAGGCAGTAGGGATGACCAGGGATGTTCCCTTGATAAGTGCGTGATTGGGCTATTTTCCAGTCCTGCTAAGCATTCAAAATGTAACTAGTACTTTTGGGTGTCAGGGAAAATGTATGGAGTAAAAGGTACATTATTTTCTTTAGGAATGTAGTGAAGTAAAAGTTGTCAAAAATATAAAAAGTAAAGTACAGATACCCCAAAAAACTACTTAACTTAAGTACTTTACACCACTGGTCAGGCGGATGCTTAGAATCACCAGGAGGCTCAGGTGCCTGTAATATCTGAGACGAATTACATAAATGAAACTAACAAAATGGAATGGTCAGCCTATGTAATTGACTTGTGTCAAAAACATGCTTTTAATTGGTCTCTGCTCTGGTTTGCTCATCTACACAAATCTCAGGTCTCAATGTGTTTACATCTACAGCGCAATCGGAAAGTATTCAGACCACTTCCCTTTTTCCACATTTTGTTACGTTACAGCCTTATTCTAAAATGGATTAAATAAATATTGAAATACATCCACAGGTACACCTCCAATTGACTAAAATTATGTCAATTAGCCTATCAGAAGCTTCTAAAGCCATGATATCATTTTCTGGAATTGTCCAAGCTGTTTAAAGGCACAGTCAACTTAGTGTATGTAAACTTCTGACCTATGGAATTGTTGGAAAAATTACTTGTGTCATGCACAAAGTAGATGTCCTAACAGACTTGCCAAAACTATAGTTTGTTAACAAGATATTTGTGGAGTGGTTGAAAAACGATTTTTAATGACTCCAACCTAAGTGTATGTAAACTTCCGACTTCAACTGTATATAAGGTCCCACAGTTGACAGTGCATGTCAGAGCAAAAACCAAGCCATGAGGTCAAAGGAATTGTCCGTAGAGCTCTGAGACAGGATTGTGTCGAGGCACAGACTCGGAGGAAGAGTACCAAAACATTTCTGCAGTATTGAAGGTCCCCAAGAACACAGTGGCCTCCATCATTCTTAAATGGAACAAGTTTGGAACCACCAAGACTCTTCCTAGAGCTGGCCGCCCGGCCAAACTGAGCAATCGGGGGAGAAGGGCCTTGGTCAGGGAGGTGACCTAGAACCTGATGGTCACTCTGACAGAGCTCCCAAGTTCCTCTGTTGAGATGGGTGAACCATCCAGAAGGACAACCATCTCTGCAGCACTCCATTAATCAGGCCTTTATGGTAGAGTGGCTAGACGGAAGCCACTCCTCAGTAAAAGGCACATGACAGCCCGCTTTGAGTTTGCCAAAAGGCACCTAAAGGACTCTCAGACCATGAGAAACAAGATTCTCTGGTCTGATGAAACCAAGATTGAACTCTTTGGCATGAATGCCAAGCGTCACATCTGGAGGAAACCTGGCACCATCCCTACGGTGAAGCATGGTGGTGTCAGCATCATGCTGTGGGGATGTTTGTCAGCGGCAGGGACTGGG